TGTGCCATATGCACGTGGCATATGGCACAAAGACCACAAGCGTGACCCTTTGTGTCATGCATCATGGCATGTGGATACATGCACCGAGTGCACTAACTTGAATTTGCTGTCATTTTACAAAATTCTAGTGCAAATTTTAAATAAACGCCATTTCTGCATTTGATTTCCGATTAGGTGGTTCAAGTGTTCACATAAAGCTTGTTTCATGATCAAACTAATGACACTGTTTTTTTCAATTTGACCATCCCATTTAAATGTTAGAGACCCAAGGCATTTTGACCGTTTTAAGTCAAAATTTGTCACCACAAGCATCTTAATTCAAAACCATACATTATTAGCCACTTTTTGGGCCTTGACCATATACAAATGGACAATACACACTTGATTGACCAATTATATATATTTAACACACATACATACATTTGGCCTGTAAACTGCCCATATCACATAACTTGGGCAAATTCTCATTTTTCATTCTCAAACTCACATAAGGCTAAATTTCCACTTACTTATCTCATATACCACCATCACATATCCACAAATACTCAATCACTAGCTTGCATGATCTTCCTCGCCATTTATGCACATTCACATAAAGGGGCTAAGATTTCAAATCACATACGCAATGTTCACAATATAATGCACATGTACTTAATTCCTATGGCAACTTATACACAGTTTATAACTATAATTTACAAATTCATTACACAACATTCTTACAAAAGGCTTAGGTGAGAGACATGAACTCAACCTATATCCTTCCCTTTAAACCACTAGTGTTAGAACCTAAAAAATATAAATGATCATGGGTGAGATAAAAATTTGAGTTTCATACCATGCCCCATTCCTTATTCTCCTTTCATTGAAATGCTCACCTTTTGAGCGCTCTTGTATTTTTTTTATAATTTAAATTTCATAAAACTTAACCTTGTGTATCTCTTGAAAATGACTAATAAACAATATCAAAAACCAATCTAGAAACAATATTGTTGAACATAAAAATTTGTATACAATGAAAGAACTTGAAAATAAAACAAGTACTTCAATTCTTTCTTAACTTGTCTATTCTTTAGCTACTCTAATAAATGAAAACTATTGGTATTTTTCTAACATTGAAAGCTTGTTACCTATTACAAACAGCCAATTTTATATTCTAACCACACTTCAATTAAGGGCCATTTGGTTTTTTTTTTTTTTTCACATTCAGAATGTTAAATTTTACTTTAAATAAAGTTGAAAGTTGTTTGTGTAAATATTTTGCAGGAAAGCATATCCTAAAAGTACATTCAAATAGAAGCTGAAAATGGATTTCTAAAATGTAACTATTTGAAGCTTTTGAAAAGTGAATTTGAAAAGTAAGACGTTATTTGACCATATTATTCCAAGTTTAATCTCTTATTCTTTATTTAAAAATAGTCAATTCATTAAGATATAATTATTATTTCAATAATAATAATTAGTATCAATTTTTTAGAATAATAAATTGAATAATTAATCATGTCAATTTTTAGCATTAATGTATAATAAAAATTGAAAATCTTTATCATATTTTCTAAAATTACAAATTAAAAAAATACAACTAACTAGAGATTGAATTTTTAGCATTATATATCAAAATTCATGTTATTTAAAATCTTTGTCACATTTTTTAAATATTTTAAATATATTACATTTGTATAATAAAAATTGTAAATCATCATAAATTAATGTCCTTTTTAGTAATTTTACATTTAAAAGCACATTTCACTATTACAAATTAAATAATTTTCAGTGTATCAAACTGACTTTTGAAAAAATATATCTAAACACAAATTTTGTTACAACAACTGACTTTCACTAAACTAACTATTATCAATGGACTTTCACCAAATAAACTTTTGGCAAACTAAAAATCAATGCATACTAAATCTTCTATTTGCTCCATGGTAAAATGTAAAGCTCTTGCTTTTGCAAAATAGTATTTGAAAAATGAAAGCCATATAAGTAAGTAACATCATATTAATTTAATTTTAAAACACTTGGCTTACATTCTCAAGAATGATCAACTCTTGTTGTATGATTATTTCTCTCATAAACTTCATCACATGGTATCTATGTAACATCCCAAATCTCTAATCCTGCATTAATGACTAATTACGGAATGATTTAGTGATTTAATTTGGGATTATGATTCTAGATGGTAAAATGTTATTTTAACTCATTGAATGTGTATATAACAGAAATGAGGGGAGAATGTGAACCAAAGCAGTGATTAGATGTCTAATTATGATAATTGGCACTTTTTTGTTAATGGTGAAATTGACTTGGTTGCCAATTTTGTGTAGATTCAGTGTGTGATGCATAAATAGCAGAAAGCGATTTGAGAAAGATTTGAGAAAGGGAATGTAACATAGGTAAACCCTTTTTATTGAACAAAAGGTTGAGAACTATATAGTTTGATTATGTTTATTAATTATTATAACTCTGTAGAAGTAATAGTATAATTGTGAAATGATGGTTTTGTTAGTTTTT